AGTCTATGGGAAAGGAAGTCAAGCCAGTGGATGCCCTGAAGGTGCTGGTTTTAGGGTGGTAAGCCAGACTGCCCTCACTGAGCCCAGAGTGCTGTTCATAACGCACAGTGAGCACCCCTAGCCACTGAGCCCTCTCTCCAGCCTTCCTCACACATTTGAAACAGAACTGTAAGATACTTTTATAAGAACTCTAAAAATTAAATGTGGGGAACAAACTCACACAAGGCCCCAAGATTTATGAATGTTAACATGTGAGATGGTTGAAATGAAACAGACCATTATTGGAATTCCAGGAAGAAAGACAATGCTGCCACCTGGCCATACTTCCCTCTCTCTGACATTTAAGACATGATGCCAACATCTGTAGTCACTGCTGTCCCCACACAGTCCTTAGCGTTTGTAGCTGTTCCTTTAACAGGTGTATTTGAAAGGCCATTTTCAGAGATGTTTAGATGTCGATCAAGAAGTTGGGAATGGAAATAAGTCTGTCTCCATTGTTCTTGTATTTTAGTGGGAGAGGCAGACTGTAAACAAAGACAATAAATATAAAATACTATGCCCAGGAAAAGTGGGGAGGGGGAGTCTAACTCTGGAGAGTGTTGTAGTGAGTGCTTATGGAGCAAGAGAAATTTGAGGAGAAATCTGCCTGATGGGAGAGCGTGGCTGGTCCATGTGCAGAGAAAGAGGCTTCAGGAAACACCCAGCATGGTATCCGTGCTTTAGGTGACTGGGGTGTTAGTGTCCCATTGCCGACACTGAGTGGCTTTGAATTTCAATTTTGAGGTCAGAAGTCCTAGGATCAAGGTGCCTTCTGGGCTGAGTCTCTTCTGGATGCTCTTGGGGAGAAGTGACACCCTCTCCAATGCACAGAATTCATCCACATTCCTTGGTTCATCATCTCCTCACTAAAAGCCTTTGGCGGGAATCTGACCCCTTGTGCCCGCCTCTGCCCTTCCAGCTTTCCATCTTGAGAACAGTATGGTCACCTTGGACCCCAGAACAATCCCAGTCATAACCTTCCCAGTTCTATATCTCACACCTAAAAAAACCTACTCTTTCATAAAACAGTATACTTTTCACAAGCTCCAGGGATTGGGGACCAGGTGTCTTGAGTGGGCGGGGCCTTGTTTTGATGAACACCTGGGGTTTGTGACATTCACTGTTTTAGAATTTAGAATAGCTGGAAATGGCCTTGATATTTAGTCTGAACTCGGGAACCCAATGCCAATAGCTTTCCAGAGGAGATACACAGGCATCATGGCTCTTTAACACCTCCTTCTCCCAAGATCAGGCCACTGTGTTGCTAGTGTTCAGAACCACTGTTTTCATCTTCTGTTGGCAGGTCCAAACTCCTCTTTCTACCCGTAGGTTTGTTCCCCATGAGTGACCACAAGCAGAGGCATTCCCTGTGCAGAGTGCTTGTAGTACAACCTAGAGACCCTTCCTTCAATAGCGAGAGACACAGTCGTGTTAAGAGGACCATCTCACTAGCATGATTATGCAGAACGTTACAGTAAGAAGGAAAGAAAAAGTGACTCTTTGCAAGAGCCAGCTTCCCCTTCCAAGGGGACCGTTGCTTATCTATTCCATTCATGTAACTCAGCATCCCAGGAGTGCTAGAGAGGAGAGATGGGATTCCATCCACGTTTCTCAATCTGCTCCTTTTCCTAAATAAACCTGAACCCTAAATTTATATTGACTTTCTAAAAGTGTCTCCGTCTGCGTCTCTGCTTCCCCCCTTACTTCCTACACGAAATCCAGCTCTATTTATCTCCACACTCCCATTTCTCTTTGTCATTCTTCTCCCTTAGGATGCACCAGGTAAACCATTCTCCGGTACCTCCCAGAGTCTCTGGCCTCGTGGAACCAAGGCTGAGAGTTCCACAGTTCTGTTAGTTCTATCAGTTGGGTCTTAACCCCAGGTGTCTCTCACTAGTTTTATTCCTTGTGCACAAAGTGCCCCTAGTCACGTCATGAAACTCTTGAAACAGAGACCCTGCTAGTGCCATGGAAACTTCTCACTAGGTAAGTGTCTTACACTTTTTAGGGATAAGCCGATACTTACTGGTGATTTAAATCTGTCTCTCTCAACCTAGCAGAGACATGAATTCTTTGAAGAGTGTTTCCTTGGCCAGACATAAAAGTGAGCCAAGACACCTCCGATATACCCGTGAAGCACAGTCCTACAAGTCACCACCATCTTGAGTTCTGTCTGTCTCAGGCCACCTTCTCTGAAGTCTGGGTTTTTGTCGTGGGTAAAGCACATAAGATCGTACATTATACCCAGATTGCCCCAACATGCTTCCACCCAGCAGCACAGCCAAGCAACTGTGATCACTGTAGCTCTCCTAAACCAAGATGAGTCTATGATGCCTCCCTGCGTTCAGGAACTATGACTTTGCTCCACCCAACATGGATCCCCTTGGTAGAATTTTACTTTTTACTGAATCATAACCATGCCTGTTCTTACTGCAAGCATCTGTCTTGCAGAAGGCTTTACCTGACATTTATTAGCATGCTTCCCAAAGGCCAACAGGAGAAGGGCAGCTGACAATGTTTTGAAAATGGAGCTGGGGGGATCACTTGCCTTCTGGCATCTTGACCTTGAGCTTTTTACTCCATCAGATGCTGTGCTTGGCGAATGTCACTTAGCCACTTGTTCATGACGTGGGTCTGTGCCCAGGTGTGGCTGTACACAGTGAGAACAGTGCCAGCATCTCTGTCTACAATGTTTTCTGTGTTTCTACTTCCAGAGTTTCACTAATAATGATATCAACAAAGTACAAATTCTCACTTTGGTCTTAGTTCTGAGAACCGTGGAATTGCGATGACCTTGGAGATCATCTGAGCTAGTTTTCTTGCCTGATTACCAGGGGGCAAGTGTTGTTAGTAGTCTAGAATTGTAAGGCACAGGGAGACTGATTGCAGGTGAGGCTAGGTTGGAGGACCGTAGAACACCATCTATCTGTTCTAGTAAGAACGGCCATGCTCCTGTAGACCACAAACATGGTGGTTTCATTACAAGTGAAACAACCAGTGGTTAAAAGTCTCCCTACTCGTGTGCTATGATAGATCTCCCCACAAAGACCTTAAAGGTGTGAGCATCTCCTCCTAATAAGTGATGAGATGTTCGCTGGTGCAGAACAGAATCAGAACCCTGAGATCTGACTACTCCCAGTGTAGTATGTAATAATGTAACTAGTGAGATTGCCAATAAGACCTAAACAATTCAGCCCTTTCCACCCTTCTCTCGATTTAGAGTAAACTTAGAATAAGCCTTTGCCTCAGAGAGGAAAGTCGCTACACTTGAGTGTTGAGAGCTCACATGACAGCTGCCTCTAGATGCTTCCTCCTCCTCTTGAATATTCCTATCTTAGCTGGTCAACAGCATCTCCATTACCATTTCTTTAAAATCGCTTGATGACTCGTGCTATTAGTTTACATCTAAGTACATTAAGCAGGTCTGGGGGAGGTTTCCTGATGGGTGAATTTGACTTGCTTATTTTACAGCTAAACTCTAAGAAGAAAATGTCCTCCTTACTTTGAAGCAGTTTTTTTTCTGTTTCTTTCTTTTTTTATTTTTTTTTGAGGGTGGAGATTCATGTGGTAGGTCTGAAGTCTGCAGTGTAAGCAAGAGCCTGCACTCAGTGAGTGTCTGCCTCTAGTCAAGGACTCTACTGGTTTTCTTTAAAAAAAAACCTTAAGAGGCAGATGCTATCTCTGAGTTTAAAGAAGAGTGAACTGAGCGAGGGAGAGAGTCTGTCACTAATGGCAGAATCACTCTTCAGGGATGAGAACAGATCGTTTGGAAATACATTTGAAATGTGAAAGTGAGTAACAGTAGCACAGTCCTTCCTCCAGGGAATACGATTTCTGCCTCTTGTCCCACGGGTCTAGAATGAAAAGGGAGGGTTCTACAGACACTCTTTGTATGTTGATCAACAGCCAGGACAAAAAGAAAATTATTCTCTCAAGCTCAGATCAAGCTGTACATACCACAAGGCAGCCAATTGTTTTTACATTGGGCATTTCAACTCAGTTCCATTTCTATATAAAACTTTTTCATGACAGGAGAAAGAGCTAGCCCCTCACCGAAAAGGTTTGCCATGTATTTTAAGCTCAGATGATATTCTGAACCCGACTGAAACACAAAGACAATGCTCAATTCTTGTCCCTTTATCTAAGCCTGGCTTCCTTTAGCCTTTCTTACTGAGTCAGAGCACGGGAGTTTCTTTCTGTCCTTAAATGTTCTGAGGAGTAAATAACAATAAACTGACGTCTAAATAACGGATAGGCTTATGCAGATAGAAACGAAACTTCTAAAAATACCCCAGTGTGATTTGTTACCTCAACATGTTGATGTTAGGACCAAATGTCAAAATGGGTTAAATGTTTCACGAGTTAAAATGTTTGCAGTTCTTAAGTTTTGAGCAAATATCCAACTTTCTGTCAGTTTTTCTGAGGACCGCTTTGAGGCACGTTTCTATGTCTTACAGCAATCTTGCTGTTAAAGCAATGCACACTTGTTAGAGTGGAAAGCATGTATTTCTTTTATGATATATATTTTCTTGGGGTGGGGTGGGGGAAATTTCAGTGCCTTTCTTTCTTTTAAACTGCCCATAGTATTTTCCAATTCACAGATGTTCTGTTTTGAATAAGGTCTATCAAAGTGTAAAACTACATGGCTACTTTTCTTCCCTTTAAAACGGAATGGACTTGCCTTCTGCAGTGTTCTTAGGTGAATTTTCTTGTTTAAGAAGCCAGAATACAAGAGAGTGCTATATTAGTGCATTATTCTCACAGCAAACAAGCCCCGTTCTGTCGCTACCTGCTTGGCCATTGTTTCTGATTGTGTGCGCTGTGCAATGGTGTTTGGATGGCTTCCTGCTCTCCGCCAGCACAAAAAGGCATTTCTGTTACAATGGCCCCTAACCACACAATGAAGGCATTAAGGATTTATGTGGAGGTTTCATTATTTTCTCCTCTTTTGTTCCTTCCAGGATGTCTTCCAAGCGACCAGCCTCTCCGTATGGGGAGACAGATGGAGAGGTAGCCATGGTGACAAGCAGACAGAAAGTGGAAGAGGAGGAGAGCGAGAGGCTCCCAGCCTTTCACCTTCCCTTACATGTGAGTTTTCCCAACAAGCCTCACTCTGAGGAATTTCAGCCAGTTTCTCTGCTGACGCAAGAGACTTGTGGTCCTAGGACCCCCCCTGCTCAGCACAACACAATGGTAGGTTTCTCCTGGTCTCCCTGCCCGCCAGTCTCTAGGAGCTTGGCTTCAGCCCTTTGTTTGAAATGATCATGTGTTTAAGAACCACACAGAAGATTCACCTCAGGCCTCATAAAATGCCTTCAAGTAACCAGGCTATCCAAGGGAGTGTGCATGATGTTTAGGTCGTCCTTTGCTTTTCGAGGAAGCTGCTTCTGACACGTGATGGGGGGCAGAATCCATACAAAATGTGATGATCACGCTAAGATGGCATGACTAAACCTAGCCAGAATCAAAGTTGGCTTCTTAGTCTTTCCCATGGGATGTTGAGGAAACATTAGCTATAGATGCTTCCATCATTGTTAATTTTCATGGGTCAAACAGCCTTCAGTTATTTTGCTACATGACCAGGTTTTCCCGCCAATTTTAGCTAATGCAACACACACAAACACTTTTTACTACCACAGTAACTCATAACTTTCACAATTATCTAGCTAGGTACTGGTATTAATTCCCTTTTATATTTGAAGAAACTGAGGCGCGGTGAAACTAAAAGATGTTCCAGGTCACAGAAACTGAGTATGCAGTCAGGCTGGCTTCCAGGTCCAGGTCCCTCACCCTTCTTCATGACAACTCAGGCACAGTTTGTGTCTTCTTGTCTGTCCCTTGGCAAGCTCAGCCGCACTCTCCACAGCTGCTCACTCTTCCCGACTTGGCTACTTACCACTGAGCGCAAGGCTACAGGGGAAGGGAGCGGGTGGGCAGGAGCACTGAGGTCAGCACAGTGAGCAGCCAGACTCCCCGCATGCTATTTTCTCTCTGCTGTGTCTCATCTGCTTATTGTTTTGACTACTGCCTGCTCCCAGGCAGTGCCCAACTAAGAGAGCTCATTGGATGGATTCCTCCTGTGCCAGTGAAACACACACACACACACACACACACACACACACACACGTCTGAAGGGCTGGACACAAACGATGAAGGCTCAAACAATAGCACCACGGTAATGACAAGGCAATTTTAAGCATACTCAAAGATGAATGACCCTGAGAGAGGCAGATTAAGTCACCGGAAGTTGTGACACTGGGGATCTCCGAGAAACAGAGAGCAGATTCTGTTTATAAGTTTATATCATGGGCCAGTGAGATGGTTCACGTGGAAGGTTGTTGGCCACACAGACTCAGCCGAAGGAGCTACATCCACAGAATTCATTCTGGAAGTAGGGAATCAACTCTTAAACCTCCACACGTAACACCTTGGTGGACATGTGTCCATCCTCACACACACACACATAGGCACACAATAATACTAAATAAAAGTATTCACAAATTAAAACAGTGCATCTGAGTCATGCTATGGTTTCCAGGGAATTCTTTAGAAGTTCTGTGACCCAAAGTGGTTGAGGTCCACCGTGGTATGAGCTATTAGGGTTTGTAAGTAAATTACCCATCCCATATTAGTGAGATCAACATTTGGAGTTTCTCGCTCCATGTGAGTGGTTTCTCCCTCAAATGTTTCTTGCATTTGTCACTTTTCCTTCTCGAGTGGACACTTGAACATATCACGACCCCTACTTCTGAACCCTTCTGTTAGATCATTCTTCTCCTGCCTCTGCTTTGTGCACCCGAGAAAGGATTGAAGTGACCCCCTCACTGTTGAATGTGTGAGTCCTGCTGTCCCTTTCAGGATTTAGCCCAAAGTCTTCCAAACTACCCCACATTAAGATCGGGTTTCTTCTTTTGCATTCTACATGGGACCAATGCTTTGGTCATGCCCAGTGTCACGCACAGTCACGAGCATGGCTGGGTACCTCCAATGGCAGTTCTTCATGTCCTCCCGGGGTATCTTTCTGATGTTTAAAGTTCATCCTCATGGTGAATGGTGCTTTTCCCACATGACTAAGTGAAAGGTCACCACATCCTAGATGGGCCCACTGGGTTCTTGGATAGTGGGTAAGCATATTGTTCCTTCACCCATGGGGCATGTACCCTTTCTCGGGCTCCGCATTATGACCTGTGCCTTCAGATGTGGGTCTCCACACAATGAGCACAGTGTTCCTTACTGATACTCTGCCCTCTCCCTCTCTCCTTCTCCTGGAAGACAGCATGAAATAGATACTCAGTTTGTGATGATTCGATAAGTATTTGAGTTGATGTGGCTCAACAAATACTAAGTATTTGGGGGTAAAGTTGCCAAATATGTCAATTCTTGGTGATGTTTTCGAGACATTTTAGAGCTGTAGTGGTACCTGCTAATGCACTTTCTGAGAAGAGGAAGAAGAAATCAGAAAGGAATCTCTTAGAAGAAGACCCATTTTAAACATTTGTCAAAATGGTTGAATGTATTTATGGTATTATTACCCAACATGAATAATTTCTTTTTTATAATGGGCTATTGTTCTACCTACACAATAGAGTCTTATGTTTCATGAGGAAATATATTCTCTGCGTTTTTACTCAGTGCATTTGAAAATGGAGAATGCTTCATACTCTTCATATTGAAGAGTGGTTCCTGCAAGCCTGACTGGCAGAATCAGGGAACGCCTTCCCATATAGACCCCAGTGCAAAGATACTTCCTGAGATGAAAACTTATGCACTCTGTGGCAATCACCAAATAAAGACGACGGAAGTGTTAGGGCCTGATGAGCGTGTAAATCTGCCTCTCTGAACTTGTGTGCATTTTCTTAGTGTTTGGAGACATAAACTAAACACCTAAAACCAGGAGAGACTCCTGAGTAGCTGTGGCCAGCACAAATGCTGCCAGTTGAGTTCTAGGTGGGCTTTTGACTTGCTGGGAGGACTGTAGACCTAAGCTAGTGATGTGTGTGGCCCTGTGAGACTATCAGATATCTAATGCTTGTGCATAAAATGATGGCAAAGGAGAATGCTACTGTTTTCTTTAAAGAAGCCCTCAGAACTCTGCCAGCCAGCTAACAGCAGAACCCGACTCCCTGGTCGTCTTCAAAAAGATGTGCGAAAGAACGGTTCTGCCATTAGCAAATGGCCATCCTGACCTTTAACCTACTGATGATAAAGGTCCCTTCTGCATCTTTTGTTAGTTGTTTGCTTACATTTTGTTTTGTTTGTTTTTATTGCATATGCGTGTCCTGTCTGTAGGTATAATTAACACACACAGGCCAAATTTCGACACTGGTGTCTTGCTTCGGTGTTTTTCACCTTATTTTCTAGACCATGTTTTGGAGTGCACGTGGGGACTCACTGGTCCTGGCTGGCCTGGCTAGCCATCCATCCCATGCCTTTGCCTCCCCAGGGCTGAGATTCCAGGCATACACTGCCATAAGTGATTCTGACGCGGGTGTCAGGCTTCAAGCCTCTGCCTGTGCAGCAAGGACTCTACAGACCAAGTCTAGTCACCTTCCCAGCCTGTGGGCTTTAGTTTTGTTTCATCTGCTCCCTTAAAGTGGGCTTGGTTGTTGCTTCAAAGTTTCGGGGACAAACGGGTAGCTCCGTGATTCAGGTTAGCCTGAAGAACAGTTCTGACATGGACAGCCAAATGGAAGATCAGGCAGTTTCTAGCAGGGGATCTCACGCCATTCAGCACAAGGGTGTGTGAGTGTCCGGAGGGGATGGGAGCAGCTCTGAAGAGATAAGGGGCTCTGGTGCTCACAGTGGGGCAGCCCCTGGTGTTCATTTTCTGTCTGGTTGCATGCTGCATCTGCTGGTGAGCGCTCAGCTCCAGTGCAAATGCGATGTGAAATGAAAGCCACCACCACCCGTGGCTCCAGAATAACCTGTTGTCTATTTTTTTTAAAGCCTATTCTGTCTCTTTCAAGCTTCCTTTTGATTCTTTAAACCGTTCTTGTTTTGAAGGAACAATGTGCTATTTTCAATATGAAATCATTGGAGTGGCTTGCTCTACATGTAACTGAATCTTATTTTTAAAAAAATAAGTGCACAGATACCTCTGCCTTGCATTGTTTCAGGTCCAACCAGCAGCCTTGCACATCCTAGACGAGGGCAACGTCAATGAGCTGCCCTCTAGGCCTTTCCTTTAATGAGACAGGAAAGTAGGCGCCATATTACCTCTGACTCTGGCTCAAGCCGGCCCCTACCTGTCAGTCTCCTGAGTGACTGTAACTGGTTACACCCCGCTATGCCAGGCTCTGTGTGGTGTGTGTATGTGTGCGTGTGTGTGTGTGTGTGCATGCAATATGTGTGTGCACACACAGATATAACGTATTAACTATATTTGAAATATATGTTAATGTCTCATTTGGAGTGGCTATGTGTAGTACTTTCCTGGGATTACTCAGAACTCAGTCTCCGTGCTCATTGTGTCCTCCTAGGGCACATGTTTCAATGAGTGTGCTTCCTTCCACAACTGAAACAACAGTTGGTGTGAGTCCACCCCCCTCCTCAAGTCCATCAAAGAAAATTGGAAAAGTGTATTTCTGTTAACTTTTCATAAACGACACAGTGTTGGGGCTTCCACGTTTACCATAGCGGGGCTCCAGTGTGTGAAAGGAAGAGAAAGGGGTTTGCAGATACGCTGGGGATCACGGTTGGCACTTAGATTGCTTTTCCACACAAGGTTATCTTAACTGCTACATCGTAGCTGTGTGACTTTAGGTGCTTGCTGTATGAATTCGGCTTACAAAAGAAGAATCAATTATATGTACTTTTTGATATCTAGGGTAATGTTGCCTATGGGATGTTATTCAAAAAACTTAAGAAAAAGAGAAGATTATGTATCGGTACCATTCAAAAATAAATTGCAGAATAAGAACTTAATTACAGGGTGGTAAAGATTACTGTTCTTATCTGATGCCTTCTATAAGCCTTCTAATGTCTGGTACCTTTGTACATCACTCTGCGTTAAGTTCTCATGGCACAGTGAGCACCTCTATCGTTAAGCCAAGGCGGTCCTTGTGCTAGTTGTCATAATGAGAATTTTGTTGTTTGGGGAGAGTCCTATCCTGTACTCCTGACAAAGGTGTGATTACTTCTGACTGATGTGGCTGTGGGATAAACTCTGTTTCATAGCACAGGGAGTAGATTCA